TAATTTCAGTGACCATTTTTGAAATTAACCCAATTACAAATACTCATAATTAGCAGGCTATATTGTCCAACTCTATAAAAAAATATAAGAAAAAAAATTTTATTTTCAACTATATTAATTTTCTTAATTTGTGTGAAAATAGAAATAAACTTATTTTTATGTGACGAATGTAGTATTTTTTTTAAAAAAAGTGGATAGGGCAATGAACTCTCTCATGGTCATGTTCTCTTTGTCACATTCAAGATCCCACATCTCGATTTGCTTCCGATCTTTTGCTTCATTTCGGTCCAGTCAATGAAATCAAGAAACACAAATAGATCAATAGCAAAAAGAGAAGAAAAAGAAAAAAGAAATTCAAATAAATAATTATTGTCCCAAGTAATGTCGTAAAAAAAATTATTTGCTAAAATATTGCAAATAATTGACGGACACTAGGACTTCAAATCCCCCTACATTCACCCATTTTAATATCAATTCAAAACTTAGACAACTCCTATTTGGGTATGAAGATCGATATTCAGAATTTATTTATTAATTTCTCGAGTAGAACTAGACTTATTCTCACATGTTACCATCATATACCTCTATGAACGATATGGACATGTAAAAATACATTAAATAATAAAAGCATTCATAAGATCATGTAAAGCATAGTCATATATTTTTATTGCCTAATTGACTTTAAATGATTCTTACTAGGTGCTAAATTTCTATTCCTTTTTCTCGAATGTCAATAGAAATCACAAGATAATTCAATGAGTGATCAAGTAATTAAAAGCATTAGACTCCTAATCATCATTCAATAAATAAACACGTACTTAATGCCAAAATTCAGAATTTATGACCTGTTCGGTAGAAATTAAAATCTAGTTTTTAATCTAAGTCAAAGTTATCAATAAATTTTAACCACATATTTTATGGGACCCATAACTTTTCAACAACACGTTTTATCAACTTTGATCGAAATATACTAAAAATCCAATTTTAATCCCCGTCAAATAGGGCTTAATATCAAAACGTATGGTTCAACATTATCCTAACATTTATGCAATTAGCCGATTATTATATTAACTACAAAAACACAATTGAAATTGATACCTTCTTCATGACATTGCATCTAAGTTGGGCTTTATCTACAATTATTATATTTTATAAAAAATACAAAATTAGATAAATATCTGCTCACTTTAGTAATAATTAATTAAGAATTGAAGCCTAATTAAATAAGCGCATAATATGCACTTACTAATCATGACCAGCGAGAACCAATCGCAAAATGGCCTGGGAAAGCACATACCTTTCATAAA